TATTTTGTTTAGATAATGGGATAGATGGTAGAGGTATGAACTTGAGAGTTGGCAGACAAGAGGAGTCTGTCTCAGGAAAAAGTTCTGACGTCTTCTTGTTTTCATCATGTTTGTCAAGCAGCCTCCACAGTCCTTATCTAATATTCCTTCTAATCTTAGCTATCCTAGTAAACCCAGACTTCTGTGCTAGTAACCAACTTTTGTAGAATATTTCCATAAAATAAGTGTATGGAGATTCTCAATAAAAACCTTAAGGGGACTCATAAATAAACTACACACACTTAACTGCAGTCATTTTAAGAACAAGTATTTTACTTACAGGCTTCTTTTGCTTCTTTCTAGATCTTGGCCTTGCAGATTTCTGGTATTTTTGTAGAGCTAAGGGGAATCAGAATTTCATTTTAAACTCGAGTCTAACATCCAGTTTATCACTCAACACATCTTTGTTTGCAGCACCAGCTAGGCCTGGGTTGAAGGGATCTGATCTCTCCCACCTTTGGTTTTTAGACTTCTTTTGGCTTTTACTAACTGCTGTATCCCCTGTGACCTCACACAGCTGGATTCCTGTGGGTGGGTGCCAGCAAAATGGTTCAAGCTCCAGTGGCACTGCTCTCTAGTTCTCTCCCTCTGAACAGACAGGCACAGAGGACAGGCTGATCACCAAATCCACTGCCTGTGCACCCAGGAAAGGGAGTCTGGTCTCCCTGTGCAGGCACCCCCAACAGCTCCAGTCGGTTCTGTTTGGAACACTCCTTGCTTAGTTAATGGAAGAGAAGCCAAAGACTTAGTATGCTGTCCAAAGTTAGTGACTTAACAATTCTTCACGAATTTTCTTTCATCTCACAATTACCTCTTAATAAGGACTGGGAAAAGTAGTATGATATAATAGGGCTAGTTCAGCTTAATAAGTCTTAATGGGGTGGGGGTCTAGTTTCCTTGATAGATCTTTTTTGAACACTATTTCTCAACTTTGGATGGTCATAGCAATCAGCTAGAAGCTTAAAAACAAAAACAAAAATGCTGATGACTGGATCTCTTAGAGAGTTTGATTTAATTGGTCAGGGGAAGCCGGCTGGTTTTAAAACTTCCACAGGTGTTTCTAGTAAGCAGCCTTTGCTAGAAGCACTGTTTCGGAATGGGGCTGGTACTTAACACTAATTACTTTCGTTCATGGGCTTTTATCAATAATTCTGAGACTCCCAGAAGAATCCCATTCAGTATCCTGTTACACAGGGTATCAAAGGATCATAGAAAATGCAAGAGTTTCTGGAACACTGGGGCTGAAAAAAAAAACGTGAACTATCACTTTGTTCACTATCTCTTGAAATGGGGTCTGTGAAACAACAACTTTAGAATCGCTTGAATCATTTGTTTAAAAGGCAAATTCCTGATCCTTTTTCTCTTCTTTCCTGAATCCACATCCCTCAAGTGCGGGTAGGGGGTCAGGGACCTACATTTTAATACATCTCCCCAGGTTATTCTTAGGCCCACTCATGTTTTAAAACCATTAATTTCTAGCAGAGATTCTCAGTCCTACATGCACATTTCACATAGGGCTATAAAAATACCTATGCCAACTAGACCAGTGATTCTCAACCATGGCTATACTTCAGCATCACCTGGAGGGCTTTCAAAAGCCCCAGACTCAGGCCCCACCCTCTGCCAATCACACTGGAATCTCTGGGGTGAGACCCAGGCATCCATGGTTTTAAAAACTCCCCAGGTGATTCCAGTCTGCAGCCAAGGTTGAGAACCACTGTTTTATATATTCTGGTTTAGTTCATTTGGGGTGAGTCTCAGACATTAATAACTTGTTGTAGTAATCATTTTGCAATATATATATATGCTCAAATCATTATTTTATATAACTTAAACTAATACAGTGTTATATGTCAATTATATCTCAATAAAACAAGGAGGGGGAGGAATAAATAAATAATTTTTAAATGTACCCCAGATAATTTTAAAGTGCAGCCTAGGGTAAGAACTCCTGAATAGTCATTTTCAACTTTTCTGTACTTCTTCCAGTACAGTCAGTCACTCAACAGCCTTTAGCCTGTAGGTTCAGGCTTGTATCCTTCCCCAACACCAGACCCAAGCCAGTCTTGACCAGGGTTGGCAGTCATCTGGAGGTCTAGTCTCATGAGAAGTTGTATGTCCAACTAGACATAGACCTCTGAACCCTGCCTTTCTAGCCAGTCTCATTAATTAATTCATTATTCACTCAATAAATATATATTTAAACACCTAATATTTGTCAAGTACTCTTCAATGAACTATGGATACAGTGACAAATAAGATACTGTTCCTGAACTCTCAAGAAGCTTATAGATTTGCAAGGGTGAAGGAAGGAGACATATATGCAAAAAGAGGTATAGCAGAGAGTAGTAATTATTACCGTGGATGTGTGAACAAAGAACTGTGAAAACACAGATGTGATAACAACTACATCTGCCTTGGAGAGTCAAGGAAGGCATGTCTAAGGAGATGCTGTTTAAGCCAGGTCTTCCCTACCTGGCCTAACGTGCCTTCCATGATGTGATTTCTCTCTTCTGCCTCTCTTGCTACTCTTGTCCTGGTTTCAGCTTCGGCCATATTGAACGTTCAGTTCTTTGAATTCCCCACAATACTTCAGTCTGCATTCATTTGCCTGGAACTTTTCCCCTCTTTTCCTCACCCTTACCTCCTACTTAGGGCTCTGCCTAGCTGTTATACTCACAGAGTTCCTCCCTGACCTCCTGGATGATGACACGAGTCTTGGTTAGACATCTGTGTACTGGCCTGTAGTGCTTCTTTTGTAGCTCACACCCACTTAATGGGTATCTGTGACCCTTCAGGCCTGTAAGTATCATGAAAGCAAGAACAAGGCTGTCTCCATTACCACAGTGTCTCCCACGTGTAGCACTATGCCTGGCACTACTGGATGAATGAGTAAATTGCGTTCCAGGAACAGGGGAAGATATGTACAAAGTCATAGGGACCTGTGGCATGTCCTAGAGTAGCAAAAAGTTTGGATGGGTAGGAGAAGGTTTCTAGAGATGAGTCAGAAGAGGTCTGTTGTTAAGGGACTTGTATGTACCCCTAAGTGGTCTGAACTTCACCCTGTAGGCAGGAGGAAGCCAGAGAGGGTTCTGTGCAGGGGAGTATAATAATGAGAACCATCACTCTGGGAGCAACGTGGAGGATGGACTTAAAAAGAAAAGCCATTTAAAGAACAGTTAGGAGATGTTCCAGTAACCCAGGTGAGAAATAATAAAGGCTTCCCTGAAGTAACGAAGCAAAAGGGATTCCATTCAAAAGGCATTTTGAGATAGAATCAACAGCACTTGCTGACTAATTGCATGTGGAGGTGAATGTGAAAGAGGATGTTAGAGTCTAGCTTGAAAGACAGGATGGGTGGAGATGCTATTAATGGAAATAGGGAATATAGGAATAGACGAGATAGTTTCAGGAAAAAATATAATGCGCACAATTTTAAACATGTTGAGAGTTCCAAGTACCCATTGGCATCTAGATAGAGCCTTTTCTGCAGCTAGAAATCCATAAAATTATTAGCTCGGTATCTTACTGATTGTGACTGTGGCTGATATTGTCCAATTGGTTATGTTGACTTCTAGTTTATATACAAAAAAGATAGACTTTTGAAATTGGCAGTGTCTTATTGATTTCATGATTTGTGCGTCTTTGGACCACAGTCAGCAATAAATTGGCAATACTTCATGGAAGAGTCTCCATTAAAGTCACTTTTTGGTTATTTTCTTTAGCTAGATACTTACACCTCTGCCAACCCCACTCAGATTCTGAGGTGGTAACAATTTTATTATAGGTAGCTATGCTGTTGTATTTTTTTGCCATTTGATTGTGAGTTCAGAAAGGAAATGTGTTTTATTCTTTTTATTAAGCTTGATGCCAAATCTAACAGGAACAGAAGTTAGTGGATGAATAGATGAATGAATGAATTTATAATCTTGATAGCAGGGATATGGGATACTTTCTGGAACTAGTCAGTTAGGAATTGAAAATCTCTAGCCTATACATAAATGCCTAGGTGACTTTTCAGTGAATTATTGACTACAGTAACGGAGGTAGAAGAGATCACCATAAGTATTTTTTAAATGGCCTTCATTATATTTTTTCTTGGCAATACAAAACTACCCTGGGAATTTGAAAAGTATGACTATAAAAGGTTATGTTTTTTGATATATTAACCTTTGATTCTGTCAAGTGAAAGGGAAGTGTTTCAGTTAGTTGTTATTGAAAACTCTTTTCTTTTTGGTACTGTCCTAGAAACTGGTAGGTGAGTACATGATCATATTTTTATTTTAAGAAGATAACTTTATGAACTGTATCAAGAGGCTGGAAGAGAAAAAGTGATTCCAGTTGGACGGAGAGGTGGAGATTAGGGTCTAGAATAATACAATGAGAGTGAAATGGAGAGAACCAATTAATTAATTCACTCATTTATCAAATATTTATTCACTGTAGTACACCAGACTCTGAGGATGCAGTGGTGAGTAAACCCAAGTAAGTTCCCACCCTCAAGGAGTTTACAGAAGGTAGAGGACATGTATGTTAATCAAATCATCGTACTAATAAGTGTAAAAATGCAGATGTAACAAATGTGGAATGAGAAAAGGCAAACTGAAAGAAAAAAAATCTCAGAGTAAAATTGACAGGACTCATTTAGTTACTGGGATTTCAGAATCTACCAAAGACATGTTTCCTGACCTACTTTCCTGAAAGAATATTCAAACTAATTTGTGTGACAGAAATAACATATGAGAAGTGCCATCCAAGAAGATGTATTAAGTGACAAATTGTGCAGAACAGATTTAAATGACCTTTTACCAAAAGATGAGATCAATAAGCTATGAATTGTAAATTCTGATTTCTGCAATTACTACCACTTATTTTTCATTGTCACCGTTCAGTTGAAATGATGGTACTTTGGTGATGAAATACAGTTTACTCCATGTCTCTCCTTTTTTATTTTTATTCAGATGTTGCCAGAGCAATTGAATTACTGGAAAAACTACAGGAATCTGGAGAAGTACCAGTGCACAAGCTACAATCTCTCAAAAAAGTCCTTCAGAGTGAGTTTTGTACTGCTATTCGAGAGGTATGACACTAAGATTTTAATAATACTTTTAATAATAATAATATTCTGCCATATGTCTTATGACTAGAAAGCATGTCTTTTCCACACAAACAGTAGAAATAGTTAAGATTGTAACTACATCTTAGCCTTCTGTTTTTAACTGCTTAGACAGATGATAAAATATAGTCTGCTAAGTTCTTAAGTTAGAACCCATTAGGATTTATGCATTCATATATAAAACCAAATGTTAATCTTATGGTACCAATGAAGTGGCTGCCTCAGCAGTTGCCTGTGACATGTCGAAACTATGTAGTAGTCACATGAAACCATCTGGAAATTTAGGTAGAAATAGTCATGATTAATAGGAGCTGAGCTTTTCTTAAAAGAACACTCAACTGAATCTTTCACAGGTACATCTGAAACAGTAACTTCCTAGTGACTAAAGGTATAGTAATCCAGACATTACTGTTTAGTGCAATAAATGGGAAATTGAACAGGTTGATATACCTTCAACAGATCTTTATAATGCTTTCCTCATTTGTGTGGTTTCAAAAAGCCTGAGGTGAATCACGTGTGTGTAAAATGACTATTTGAATTTCATGTTGCCTTGGGTGGAATTGACCAATTAATGAATTTCACTGGTTACAAGATAGTTCACTTAAGATATATATATACTACATTGTTTTATTCAGTAAGCCCATCGCGCCCTGCCTATCAGATGCTAAATAACAATTTATCAATTACAACCTAAAGTCCATATATCCAGCATATTGTCCCTCTAGAAGTCCCCAGCAATGACTGCCAGAGAATTTGTTATAGCAGAGGGCACACGTCTCTCAAGGGATGCTTGTATCAACCTCCCTTACTCTTTGAAACTCTACTTGTGGTTAATGCATATTTTATGCCTCAACAGTTCTAGTGTGAATTGTCACTAAGTGAAAAGGACTCATGTGACTGCAGTAGAGACATACAAAACCTCTCTCACTGCATATTTAACCAGAGCCTACCCAGTGCAGTTAATATTTGGATTTTGCTGAGATTTGACTTAGACTGCTTGTGCTAAGTCTTTATCAAGTGAAGTTCACTACTTAATTTTTGTTTGTAATGAACACAGCTTAAGGAAATAGTCATAATTCTAGCTCTAAGGTTTAACGTCTGAGTTTGACTAAAGACTCAAAGGAAATTTCTCAAAGTGTATGAATTCTTGGCCATTGGCTGCGCAGCGGGAAAGGTATAGATGTGTAGAAACCCCGTGGGCTTCCTTTAGTCACTCGGTAGACCAAAGCTAAATCCCCTGTACACTCTTCTTCCTTCACAGGGTGCTCCTCCCCTGAGATTTGGTGGCTGGCTTTTCATCTTAGATACTCTATCACCTTTCTGCTTTCCACAGAACTAAAGAATTAGGAACCATCAAATATATCTCTCAGCTCACTGGGAATTTGGCTTGTAATCAATGCAAAGTCTCTCCTTTCATGGAACTTACATTCTAGTGAAAAAATGATGATAAATAATATACAGCAAAATATCAGAAAATGACAAGACCACGGAGAGAAATGAAGTAGGATTAGGGGAGTATATGGGTAAGGCTCTATTAAATTAAGGTGATCAGAAAATAACCTAACTGAAGTAGTGGAATAAGTCTCACAGATACTAAGAGGGTGTAGTATTCCAGGCAGAGGAAACCACAAGTGCAAATTACCCAGAGGCAAGAATGACCTTAATCCGTAGAAGAAACAACCCAATAGCCAGTTACACCTGCAGTGAAATAAGGAAGGTAGGCTGCTTAGAAGCAATGGGAGAGAGGATCACGTAAGGCCTCTCAGGCCGTGGTGCAAACATTAGATTCTATCCTAAGCATGATAGGAAGCCCTTGAAAAGTTTTCACCTGCCCTGATTAGCTTTGCAAAAAGGTTTTTCTGACTGCTGTGAGAATACAAGTGTCTGTCCAATAGTAGAAGCAGGAGAGACCAGTAACAACATAAGGAGTTGGTCAATTAAGAGATCAGGTGGTGGCAGCTCGGATGAAGGTGGCAATGGTGTGAGTAGTGGGAAGTTGTCAGATTCAATATATGTGTTTTTGAGAATAAAGACAGTAGGAATTGTTGATGTATCAGATACATGGGTGAGAGAGAGAGTCTCCATTGATTCTTAGGTGTGGGCTTGAACAGTCAGATGAATGGTGATGTAATGAACTGGGAATTTTTGCGGATGGACCAGTTTGGAGAAGACTATCCAAGAGCTCTGTCTGGACATAGTAAACTAATGATGCTTTTCAGACATCCAAGGAGAGCTGTCCGGCAGGCATCTTAAGTCTGAAGTTCAGAGGAGAAGCTGGTGCTGGAGATGTAAATATGGTACAGCTATCTGTTCAGATAAACACACAAGCCTTTTTCTTTAAAGAGTTTGCTAAGGAAAAAAGAGAATGAGAATTTTTTTAAAAAGCAAAGAAATATGGAGAGCTTATATAGATATTATAAATCTATTTTACAAACTCTGTCACTATGTGTGTCATTAACGGTCCATGGAAATCTATAACTATAAGCAATCCAAAAATTTCAGAGAAAGAAAAGATGACATATCTACCTTACATTTTATAAGGTAGATAAGATTAATAAGATTACCTTTATGTTCAGAGTAATGGTCTTAGTAATAATTTTGTTCTTAAAGGCAATACATGTTAATAGAAATTGATTTGGTCCCTTCATCGTGGCTCACATTTCATACCCATTGCATGGTGTTGTTTATTTTTGTTAGGTTTGGAATTTTTATTATTCTTATGGTGTTGTTTTACATACACTGTGGGAAGTAGTGATAAAAGTAAGCCAGTGTGTCTACAACAAATCTGAATCATAGAATAATATTTTGAAACCATCTAGTGAAAAGGTCTTCAATAAAAATGTAAAGGATAAATACATGTGGCCAGACAGGTGAACCCATAAGCCAGTAAAGAAAAACACAACTTGGAAGTATAAAGCTATTTGATGATAAATACCTGAAAATTATTTTATTTCACTCCTGGTCTCTTGGGTACTGATTGTTAGGCTGGCCTGAAACCTTTGAAGTTTTTTGTCTCTTATTCAGATAACGTGCAGAATCTCTGGTGTTAAGTTATTTGGGTTTTCAGAAATATTATCCAGGTAATACTTTCCAGTGTGAAAGTTGTCAGTGTTGTCACGACAGGTGGAGAAACGAACAAGAACTACGGAGGTGTCGTTCTTAGTTGCGCTCCCCAGAGCAAGAGCCAGGTACAGGTCACACCCTTGCCAACAAGACTACAAAGGCCAAATTATGCTTAAAAAGAAAGCAGGACAAGCCAAGCTATTGCTAATTATTATTATTATTATTTGCAATACATAAGACTAACTGCAGTTGCTGTTTCGTGTTGAGCACACCCATATTTTGCTTCACATTTGGATGAAACCACTGAATCACCTCCTGGCATACGTGCAGCAATTATAAGGAGGAGAATAGTAAAATTTTACTTTGTTTTTTAATGAAGAGAGATTAGAAGAGATTAGGTGTTTTCTCTACTTAATTATTTCTCTGTAATCTGTAATAAAGACTGAAAATTTTTGTGTTCAGTACTGAAGCAAGACCGTCTATGTATACCACTAAGAAAGGCATCGATATGTTATCAAGTTGCCCTTGAATGACAATCCACACCCAGTTTTATTTGCAGAATACAGATAGTAGTTGGCAATACTTATCTTGATTGTGTGTGGTTTTTTTGGTGGTGGTGGTGGTTTTGTTTTGTTTTGTTTGCCCAATGGTCTTAAAGGACGTGGTTAATAATTAAATTGCACCTATGTGGTGCAAGTAATTTTGGAGTGCTTGGCAGAGACATGATACTGCTTTTCCAAAGTGAGAGACACTGGCTGATAGAAGAAAGCTCACACAAATTTTTGAATGAGAGATAAAATTGAAACATTGGTACTGATATTTCTGGTAAAAGCCAATTCTGCAATTTTAAGTGGCTTCCTCAAGTTTTAGTTGATCACTGTATGAATTAGCTTGAATGACCCAAACTTATAAATCAAAATATAAGGAAAAATAAAGATTGAAATAAAAGGATTATAAAATGTTGATTTTTGAATAAGAGAATTTCCTAAGAGAATTAAATTGCTCCATTGCCAAGAGATGGGCTTTTCCCCAACACTTTATATTCTCAGTGCCTTGGAGAAAGAAGTCAATAGTATATGAATGGTCATATTTTAAGAGGACATCCAATTTCTGCACCAGAATACAAGGAGATTCTTTCTAAAACTAAAATAATAAAAAACAGAATTAGCCATCTGTTCACTATCATTATCTCCATAGAAACTATCATTCTGTGATGGTGGATTGTTGAAAAGTTTTCCATTTCTCCTCTCCTTCTTAGCACATGTTACAGTTGGATTTCTCCATCCTCCTTAAGGCTACATGTGATTATGACAACCGCTTTGGTTAAGGAATTGTGTGTGGAAGTGATGTGTACCACTTGCTTGGGGAAGCCTTTGAGTCAGTGCATTATTTGCTGTGTTCCCTTCCCTTTGCCTTGTGACTGGTGATGTCTTCTATGATAAATGATCAATCAGCCTGGATTGCACAGTGCGAAAATGAGAATTATAAGCTTTAGCCAACTCTTAATAAACATGTAGTTTCAGCAAGAAATAAGTCTTTGTTACTATAAGCCCCCAAGATGTTGGGGTTATCATACCACAGCAAAACCCAAGCTGTCCTGACTGATAATAAAACAGTCATCAAGCCAAATTTACCTTAGAAAAAGGTTAAAAGCAGTAACAAGCTTTTTACTGCTGTAAAACCAAATTAATTTTTAAAAACAATGTTGTATTTTCAGTAAGCTGGGGCATATCTTTTTTAAAACTATGTGAAATTGTTTTTTGATATAAGTGCTAATGCCAATTAGGTGGTTCATAAATTTTTAAATTTTGAGACACTTTGGTCATAGATTTTGTTTGCTTCTAGATTATCTCCCATTTGCCCCTACTCTCATTTTTTTTTCCTTTCTGAGGATGGAGCTC